TTTCATCTATCAGTATTGACTTCCCCATTTTCACTATCTAAGCCTATGCATCCTGGAAAGTCTACTTTGTGAAGCCATCCTCCCCACATTTTGACCTTCAAATTGGAATTCCAAATCTTCAGAGTATGAAGGGACCTTCCAGGCCCATGTAGTGCTCTAGTTCACTGCTCATTCCATGGACTAACCCTTGTGGGGAAGCACAGGAGTTGGTTGGAAAGTCTGTAAGGAGGATTCTCCAAAAGGTGGGGGGCCTCTTAGGGAGACCTTGCCAAAGGCGGCAGCCCCTGCCTTGACATTTCCAAGTAAGTCTGAGCCTCCAGGTGTTTTGCTGATATCTCTATGTTTAATCTTTAAGACCGACCTTGTAGAAACATGTGCTTTCTCAAGGATACTTACACTGCTAATTGTATCTAGAGCAGTGGTTCTCAACCTTCCTAATGCCGCAACCCTTTAATACAGTTCCTCATGTTGTGGTGACCCTCAACCATAAAATTATTTTCGTTGCTACTTCATAACTGTAATTTTGCTACTGTTATGAATCGTAATGTAAATATCTGATATGCAAGATGTATTTTCATTGTTACAAATTGAACATAATTAAAGCATAGTGATTAATCACAAAAACAATATGTAATTATATATGTGTTTTCCGATGGTCTTCGGCGACCCCTGTGAAAGGGTTGTTCGACCCCCAAAGGGGTTGCAACCCACAGGTTGAGAACCACTGATCTAGAGGTTAATTTTAGTTCAAGCTGTAGTTATAATAAAAGCCAAGGAGGCAGGCAATCAGGGCTGTTTTGGTGCCTCCTGCCAATCAGCCCCTTAGCCTCTCTTTCACGGAAACGTGTGTCAGAGTAATCTATTCATCCCTCGCTCAGGGTCTGCTGATCAGTCCTGGCAAACCCTATGCAGATGCAGCTGGTAGTCTTCTGGCCTTTGTGACTGCTTTTAGTGACAAGCACACACTGGCCCACAAGGCAGTCCACACCCTTTCAGACATACAGTAATTGTGAGAAAATTCCTCTTACTATCCCAGCACCTGTTTCCTGGTATCTTCCACCACTGATTCTGACCTCTGGTTGAATAGAGGGAAGTCTGATTCCCGGTCCTCGTGCACCCTGCCCAGCTCATAGTTGGCCTTGTGTTTCCCCCCATTCTGGCTCTGCCTCTAAAAATTCTAATTCCCCAACCATCTCACAGGTCCTCTGTGGAAACCACCTTCAATCTGTAATGATTAGCTAACAGTCACAGACAGATCTGATGTCTCTGTATATAGCTGGGGAGGTCTCTGTGTCCCATGCCACAGATTATACCTGATCCTCCTTCTCTTCTTTGAACTAGCTTAGGATTTCTACACTTAGCCTTGCATTCATCATCATGCACTTTGTCATGAACGTTCACTGAGCACTGTCAGGAACCATACTAGGTACTAAAAAATAAAATTCAATAAAAAGTACTCAGCCTATAGAAGAGTAAGAGCAAGAAAGATAGAATAATAAATAGGTGAGGAAGTTGGAGAGGCTTCAATGGAAGCAGTGCTATCTGAGCCAGCAATGAACTATACAACACCAATGCCTCACACAGCCTTGCGTCCCCAGCACCAAATGGAACAATGCTTTGCGCTCACTTGAAGTTCAGAAAATACGTGAATATGGTAAAATTGAGAAACCTGCTCAGCCCCCTCAGCCTCTTTTGGAGGTGAGGTAGGGTGATCAGTGAATCCACAGTCTGACAAAGGCAGTTACAGAGACTGACAATGTACCTGGCTACGTACAATATTGCTCAGGTGGTTGTCCTCGGACATCTGTGCATTCTGGAAGTAGGACAAGGGTGCAGGCAACTCTGTCATTGGAGCAACTGTACAGAAATACCTTTTCACAGAAAACAAGGCCTCTTGGGGTTCTGAAAAGGGAGACAGAAAGCAATCCTTTGTACATTACAATTACACTTTTATTTTTAAACACTTTCATAAATTACATTAGGTGAAACCAACCTTTCTTTCATGTGTCTCCTCCAGGCCGAGCTTCCCAAGGACCTCACAGGCTGCTGTCACTTGCAGACTCCTGGATTAGGTCTGAAATAGGGTTTTATCAGGTTACCCAGAGTTGGTAATCCATTCACACCAATCAAGTACTTAAAAGACCAATCTATAAGGCATCCATTTATTAATTTGCCATGAACCGATAAACATTCTTAAAAAATATTTTTTGTTAATCCTCACCTGAGGATATTTTTCCCATTGGTTTTTTAGAAAGAGTAAAAGGTAGGGAGGGAGGGCAGAGGAAGGAAGAGAGAGAGAGAGAGAGAGAGAGAGAGAGAGAGAGAAACATTGATTCGAGAGAGACACATTAACTGGTTGCTTCTGGCAGACGCTTTGACCAGGGCCAGGATGGAACCTGCAACCCAAGTACATGCCCATGATTGGGAATCAAACTTGAGCCCCTTTAATGCTCAGGCCAACACTCTCACTGCTTAGCAACACTAGCCAGGGCTCAACTGACAAACCTTTATCAACTCAAGATACCTCTTTGGTAATGAGTAGATCTATTTTAAATTTTTTTTATATTTTATTGATTTTTTACAGAGAGGAAGGGAGACAAAGAGGGATAGAGAGTTAGAAACATCGATGAGAGAAACATTGATTCGGCTGCCTCCTGCACCCTCCCTACTGGGGATGTGTGCAACCAAGGTACATACCCTTGACCAGAATCGAACCCGGGACCCTTCAGTAAACAGACCAATGCTCTATCCACTGAGCCAAACCGGTCAGGACGAAAAAAAAGTATTTTTCAATCACAAAGATAATCAATGATTTCAGATTTAGAACAAAGGGAACTGAATAATCTTAAAGAATGTTCTCATCAACATTTCTTCTTTCCTTTTTTTTTTTTTTTGAGAGACAGGAAGGGGGAGAGAGAAACATTAATGTGAGAGGGAAATATTGATCAACTGCTTCTACACACCCACTAACCAGGGATCAAGCCAGCAATCCAGGAATGTGTCTTGACCAGGAATGGAACCAGCAACCTTTAGGTAAATGTGACAACATCCAACCAACTGAGCCTTTAGGTAAATGTGACAACATCCAACCAACTGAGCCACACTAGCCAGGGTTGTTTAGTGATTTTAATTTTGCCAAAGGCCGGGTAAACAGGTAACATCCATATTTTTTTTTATTTATCCTCACCAGAGGATCTTTTCCCAATGATTTTGTTTAAAGAGAGTGGAGACTCCACCAAGATGGCGGCATAGGTAAACACCGGAGATTGCTGCCGCAAACAACCACTTCAAAAATTCAACTAAAAGACGGAACGGACATCACCCAGAACCACAGGAAGGCTGGCTGAGGAGAGACTCTTCAACTAGAAGGAAAGACAACAACATACCCAGGCTCAGAGGAGGCGCAGTGTGGAAAATTTAAAGGTGCGGAGGTGCGCACGCAAAGCGGGCTGGTGGCTGAGGGCGCGGTTGTCATTTTCAATCAGGAGGGAGTCTCAGACTCTGAGCTCCAGATCCAGGCGAGTCTCTAGGGACTCAGACTCAAACGGGAGAAGCGGGATTGTCTAGCATCAGTTGGAACGTGAGGGCAGCTTTCTCTCCAAGGTTTGCAGCGGTTGCCGGGGTTCTGAGAAGCAGAGCCTCTGGGAACGGGACTGAGAGCAGCCATAACTGCTCCCTCCGCCCACACTGTTGATCCCGCCCCGCCCAAGCCCTGCGCAGAGCCATTTGCCGGATCGCCTCAGGCAAAGGCTAGATTAGCACCTCCCCAGAGGACAGAAGTTTTCCCACAGCTGATTCTCACAGCCAGTCGGCCTGGTGGTCAAATCCCTCTAGTATTAACTACAACAATCAAGGCTTAACTAGAACAGACTGCGCACAAAGACCACAAGGGGTGCACCAAGAAAGCATAAAATGCGAGACAAAAAACATGACAGAATGGAGGATATAGAGCTAAAAACGCAATTTGAGGCTTGCATAAACTTGTGAGAAGCCTCACGAAACTAGAGACCCTGATGCTATGATAAGAACACTAGATAGCATACACGACTGATAGATATACCCCATAGCGACGAGAGCGCAGATCAGCAAGATTGAAT